AAATTTCGTTGTTACTATGTACCATGGACTTATCAAACCAGTTGTCGTTTTCGTCACAGATATATCCACAGCAAAGAGAAACCATTCAAATGTAGCGAATGCGGTAAAGGGTTCTGCCAGAGCAGGACGTTGGCTGTGCATAAGATCCTGCACATGGAAGAATCGCCGCACAAGTGTCCCGTTTGCGGCCGGACGTTCAATCAGAGGAGCAACCTGAAAACTCATCTACTCACGCACACTGACGTGCCACAGGATTTGAGAATCGATCACCATCACCAACTGGAATCGAGGATCAGTAATTCTCAAGCCCGAGAAATCAACGAGAGGTCGATACCCGTTCAGACTTCAACCACCGTGACTTCAACCCCGAAACTGGGGTTCAGTATAGAGGACATTATGAGACGTTAAAATTTTCTCTTTACTTCTATGTATTTATTTCCTGGGTTTCATTTCACAGTGATATCAACCCCGAAACTGGGGTTTAGCATAGCAAATAATGAGACCTTTTAATTCTCTCTTTATTTCTATTTATTTCACAGTGTGCTTCGCTCAATGCGTGGAGTAATTTAAACAAATGCGTTCGTTTTACGTATATATATATTCGTAGCGTTTAAGTATACATTGGTATGAAAATTTATTTACGTTAACCGCAAAATGAAAGAACAAAAAAAAAAAAAAAATATTTATTTCGTTTTGTTCGTGATTAAGGAGGATATTTTTATAGACATTTTAATAATAACTTTAAGTCTTTACCTATCGACAACAATTATTCTTTATTTAAATGACGATTACTCCCATCATCGATGGTAATTATTCCATTAGTAATGACTATTATCCCTACTCATAACTAATTACTCCAGAGTGAAGCACACAAGTTTCGCGACATATACTAAACACTGTATTAAACACTTTGAAACATTACGAAAGTACAAACAATTAATATTCACGAAAGAAATTCAAAATGTCGAATTTAGAAGTATATAAGGGTACGCGGTGCCCGACGGCTATGCTGCCACCTGACGGGGTTCAAACTTGTCTTCGGGTCGCTACCGCACCCCTTGACAGACCCTGTAAATAAGCATATCTTACTTTTAAATTATTTCCGTTCGGGAATTCAAATGGCAGAACAGCACAAAGAACAGAAAAAGACAGGAGGAACCGAAGTTTACGACTTCATTCTTGTCTCTGTAAATAGCGTAAATAGTTGTGAGATAGGGAAATAGCTAATACCTGTACGTTTTCTAAATGTACATGTTCGTTGAGATATCAAAGATCATCGACGATAATTATTAATTGAAACCATCGCCGATACCAGTATTAATACGAGGTAAACAGATGAATCGATTAACCTGAAACATTAACTTATAAGTTTATCTTATTCTAGATATATTCTCGTTTGAGGCTCGTCAAATATCAAAAGAAAGAATATTATTTATAAGGAAACGGTGTACTGACTTACTGCCCTCGTAAAATTTTATACGGAATTACAATGATTATCAATTATTATGCAATTTTCAATGGTTAGATTAATTAAAGGCGAACTAATGTTTTTAAATGTCCTACTACTTACAATTTATTTTTATTTTTCTTTTTATTTTCTTTTATTTTACGTTCAGACATAAATCGTTGTTATCTCTGCGAAGGCGTTAAAATCAGTCCCAAAGAGCTCGAAGGTGTGTCGCGTTCGACTGGTATCGGGACACGAGATCGAGTCTCTTCTACAAAAATTAGGAATTCTCGATCAGATAAGAGCCACCAGTTTCCCTTCGAGCAATGACCAAAGATCTCTCTGCTTACACCTTCCCGTTGATAAATTTAAGAAAAAAAGGACCACCCAAGTAA